CGTAACTATCCGTTGTTGATTAAAGTCGTTTTTTTTACACACTACGCGCGATGGCAAACACCTTTAGACCTTTTGCGTTACACTTCCCTTTATTTCGGTTTCAGTTTTCACAACCATTATCCGTGCGTCTTTGTGCTGCGATGTTGGTCGCTCTCTGTTTTCTGCCCGTTTGGATGAAACAATGTAGGCAATATTGGAATGTTGAGTGCATTACCAATGTGAAAATAGGTATTCTGGCACGCTACGGTTGCCAAGAGATTGAGATGCACGAGTATCACTTTTTACGACACAGCCATATCACTCAATGTGTCTGACCATCTGTTACACTAGTCCCACCGTCACGACGAGACCTTGACGTAGTGTGATGGCTTGCGTGCATCCATGACCCTGCGAACTACACAGGATGGCATTTCACAGCTGCAGGTCCAGTCATGCCTGAAAGGTCAATGGATAGAGAGGCCAGACAAAGTTCAATCTCACAAAACCAGCTGTTTGGTCACCTGGCTTCCTTCCTTCTATCCACACCCGCCCCTGGAGAGGTCACTCTAGCAAATAAACACCGTAAGGGGCAGTTTACCGGTCGAAAAAAACCCGCTAGATGAACGTGGGAGCGGGGTACCTGAGGGCTTCCTCTTGACGGTGGGAGAAGTCTTCGCACTTCATTGGACAGCTATCGCCCACCCAAGCTGAACAGCCCCCAGCCAATAAGGTGCTGTCCTGTCCACGTTCCGCGTGTCTCATTGGGTGCATGAGACTGAGGGTCGATCCTGAAAAGCGGACCGACAATCAACGCACCAGCGAACAGTACACTAAACCAAAACCCGAAGACCTTGCGTGACAGGTCTTCAGAAGCCCCCACACAGGTTCTTCGTTCACGCCCCCTTGTTGGATTTACGTCCCACTGCCTTAGGGGTCAGACTTTTGAATCGAAGGCTCCGGCTAGGGTTCCCAAAAAAAACCCTTCATCTATTTCGGCTGCCGCGAGGTATGCCGTACCTTAATGTCTTAGGCACCCATTTGGAAAAACCTCTTTCCCATCTGGGTAGTTATTTCTCAAAACTGAAACACTAGTCCCAAGGTCCCCATCCAAAAAGCTTAACACGACCTATATGACCGAGGCCCTTGATGAAGGTTTTCCTACTGTCATGCCAGAGGTCTTAGCTTCGCCACCGTTGACTTTTTTCCATACACTATCTGCCTCGGCAAGTATTGCATGTTACGGCAATGTATTTGATGGTGTGCGTAATAAACGTCCCAGCCAACGTATTTAATGAAAATCACCCATTTTTTCCTAATGGATGACCGCGATTGCGCTTGTCACACATCATGGCTCACATGCTAACAGTTTTCCATTTGTGTTATATTTTATTTCACCTCTTTGAAAGACTAAAGCCTCGAGGTAGTCGAGTAGGTTTATTCTCATCATCATCGTACAGCGAAATACAGTGAAGCGAACTTCGCTGATCGCT